CCGGGGTCTGCGTTTGTTCAATCAGGTTTTGGTTGACAGAGCTCTTTGCCCGCACAACTTCAAAAACCTCGCCCTGCACAAGTCAAGTGGAGATCCTTCTTTGTTGTACGTTGAGCAGAAATTGAAGAATCAACTCCGAATCCTGTTTTGAAACATAGAGAATGCTCATGTGCAAAGTCCGACTCCCCGGTAGATTGGACGTCCCCTGATTCTGCAAAATGTGGAACATGTGCAATAGTCGGCCCGGGGTGCATCTCCGTGATACTGTCCGCAACAAATGCTTCTCACACGATGGCAAAGCTTCTGTTGAGCACAAGCCCAAGCACCAGCCTAAAAAAGGTACAGGCCTCGTCCGCCCAAATCCCTCCCTCATCCAAGCCTTACTGGCAACTTCTCCTGAAATGGAACCTTCCTCAGAACCTTCCAAGACCTATGGCCCAAAACTCCACAGAGCAGCCCTACAGCTTGTCCGCACCCTGAAAATCTGCCCAAATGCTTCCAACATCTGCCGGAGCTGAACCTTCCCCACTTTATCTCCATTTTGGAAGGCATGCCTAGCCACTTGAGCCACCACTTGGCAACCTTAAAAAGCTGAAGCGTGCTGCAGGCGGGATAAAAATAGGCGCTTGTTTCTCAGGCGTGCATGCTCGAGGCCTAGGAAAACGATGCGTTTTGGGGGTTCCATTCGGAGATAAACCCAAGTATAGAAGCTTTATCGGAACACTGATTGACCAGCCGGAACGGGCCGAAGCTTCAGCCAACACGGGCGGGGAAAAACAAAACTTCCGAGGCGACCGCTTGCAAAGCTGCATGAAGTCCCTCATGGCTTCCTGCGTTCAGAAACAAATCCGGCGCACTCCCCACATCATAATCAACAGATGTGTATATATATATGTGTATATATATATATACATATGTATATGCAATAATATACAGTATATACATATAAATGTGTATTATATGTATATATATATATGCAACAATACATATATGTGTGTACAATAATATATATATATATATATATGTATATATATACATACAACAACGTGTATATGTATATATAATATACACATGCACATGTGTGGTTGGGTGTTTGCATGTGAAAACTAGGGACCACTGGTCGGTCTAAAGCGACGGTAAACCCGTCCAGAAATCCGTCTTTGTGTGACACTAACTCGGTTTCCCTTCAAGCACCATCCAAAGCGAGTGAATATGAAATCCACGCGGAACAGTAGCAATACTAATGATAAACAATATACTTTACAAATAATAGTAATAATGATAGTAATAATATTAATAATGATAATAATGATCATAATAATAATCATAATAATAATCACAATAATGATAATAATAATGCACTTGCACAAACCCAAAATGGCGACATCCTACAATGCACCCTCCCAAAGAGACGGTTGCTCTGGCGGCCTCCTTTCGAAACCAAACAGATTTGAGACAAACCACCTCCAGACTTTTTCTCGTGCTCTGGGCAGCAGTCGGCTCGCCAGGCAGCCAGAACTGAAACAGAGTTTAGAAACTGGTGTTGCCCAGAATTAGGAACCCTTCAAAACGCGTCGAAATGAGGGTTCTTTTTGGGGATGGCACTAAAAAGAATCCAAGAGGATACCACTCTCTTGTAAGGATCCCCGGGTTTGGACATGCAGCCAAGTTTGCTGTATCTTTGGCTCCCCTCAGCAACCGATCGCAAAAAAAAATATCTACTTAAAAGAAGCGACCAAATCTTGCGGCCCTCAAGTGAAAGCAACTGGTGACGCCAGGATAAGCGTGTCGTCCGAGCGATGCCTCCTTGCAAAGGGATCCCTCCTTGTTTGGCCACACGACATGCTGAATCATCCTCACCCTGGATGGGTTCCCAAAGATTGTCCTAAAACGATCCTGCCCATCTGTGCCAAACGGTCTCAGACAAATGAAGCGCAACAATCACCCTGTGCGGCGGCCCGTCCTTTGGTCTCCCAAGCGCCTTGGAGAAATCCCTCAAGCCCCCAGGAAGAAACTTCAACTTTAAGCCGTGATCAATAACAGGGTGCGCTGATGCCAGCTGTTGAAACATGTTTAAACCTCTGTGGTGCAACAACCACCTTGGGTCTTGGCCGAGGTCTTTTGGTTTCCGCAAATCTTGCCCACAGTTCCGGAGTTGTTTGCCAATGACAACTCTGCTCAAGGCTTCTTCTGCTCCTGCCTCGATGCTCAGCATTGTCATTGCTGCTGATGCACATATGTCTCTCAAATGTTGCACCTTTTGCACCTTCTGTGCCTAGAACTGGGGTCAATGAGGAACCTCCGGCAGGACTACCATGCAATGAGCCACGAACACCCCAACGCGTTCCCCAAGAGCACATGGCAATATCCTGGTTGTGTGTGTAGACCCATAAAGGGCATGTATACATTGGTGGGGCCAACCAAAACAATTCGAGGAACTCAAAGGCTGCCACGCAAGTGGGAGCTGCATGACGACTTATTGCGGGGGCTTGTCCATGCTAGGCTGCTGCTGCTGCTGCTGCTGCTGCTGCTGCTGCTGCTGCTGCTGCTGCTGCTGCTGCTGCTGCTGCTGCTGCTGCTGCTGCTGCTGCTGCTGCTGGCAAACGGACTGGCAAAGCCTTGACTTCGCTGGTTGAGAAAGCTGAAACCAGCACGCCGCCCCTGTTGTTCACCTCAGGTCCTTTTCAAAGTGCCCATCTACCAGTCGCTTGGCTCGAAGACTCAGTCTTGTTGCGAGAGCACGCAAGCTGCAAACGGAGCCGGACAGTCCCCATTGCAACATCCCAGCTGAACCAAACAATACCCAGCTCTTTGGCTTCCTCTGGCCTGGCCTCATCACTTTGCCATTCGCTTTTCCCTCAAAGGTCCAGCCCCAGAAACGAGTCATGGGCCCAGGCACCACGGGCCAAAACATTGTTGGTCTCCCTAACGGGGCCAGGGTCGGGTTGTTTCAACCAATCTCGCCCAACCCCGTCAGTCTCTCCCTTCCCAATTGAGCGAGGCCCGCGCCATGTGGGCGCTGCCACGCCTTGAAAGGAAAACAACAAGCCCAAGCCCAGCATGGGCATATGTCAGGCTAGCGGTTCAGGCAGCCGTTCAAAGGTTCCCAAAACCTGGATCACCTGTCAGCGGTCAGCTGCGAAGCTCTGAAAAGATTCAGTCAAAAGTATCTGTCGAAGTCAGGCACCCGAGAACCCGAACGGCCTGGATATGCAAGCGACTCAAACCCCTGGTATCAACCTTCGCAAAAGCTGACTGATCAGGCATACCATGCAACAAAGGCCATGGCCAATGCATTAATGAATCGATGTTGCCTGTGTTCAATGTGGAGCAAGTGATCATGCCCACGCACGCCAGCTTGTGACAAAATACGTCGCATCCAAATCCCGGCAAATGCGTCTTTGCCGGAAAGCAAGCGGAAAATATTCAGGCTCCTGCCCCCGAACGCGTGTTCAACAAATCCAACAGCTGAGAGGTCGCCTCAATCCTTGGACACGAATCCAACAATCCGGATCGGTTACTTTCAAACCAGAAAGGCATTACTTTGCAGCACCGAAAAGAAACACACGATGCCCTGAACGAGACAGCCATGCAAATAGTCTCTCTCAGTGTCCGCCCCACCCCAGTCAGAACCAAAACTAGCATCGAAGGAACACAAACAAAAGCCAAAAAACAGCCCAAAACCTCTTTTTGGGCGGCAATTACCCCTTCCCATCGGCTTCACTCGCTATCTAGGCCACTGACCAAAAAGTCGACAGTTCTCCTCCCTCGACCTGTTGCTTCTACACAAAAAAAAAAAAAAACGGCGTGCAGGTCTCCTTCGGCCCCGTTTTCAGCTCCCCACCTCCCACACCCCGCCTGTACCAACCCTTCGGGAAGTCCTCCTTGGCGTCGATCGCCTTCGAGGCATCCACCAGCGCAGAGCCTCGAGCCAAGCGCCCAGCGCGGGCCCACCCGGGTCCCTCTCGGATTGTCAAGCTGGAACCTGTTTATTGTAACCCCCTTCTTTCTCCCGACCTAAATACATCAAGACCTGCTTTGGATCCTTGAGGGGACCCAAAGGTGGGGCATGAGTCGCGACAACCTGACGAGGGCTTGGCGTGTACTATGTCGGTTTCCGGAAACCCTAATTCAAGGTCGACACAACGAGGTTGCTGAAACATGCGACACCACCGTTGCTGCAACACAACCTTTCTTCAAGCTTATGGCTTTTTCTTGTCTATGAAAGCAGGCAATTTGCTCATGGCTGGGAGTGCCCAGCCCAAAATGCGAGGGTAGGGAGGTTCAGGCAATCATATAATGTGTATACATATATATATATATGTATATATCTAGCTACGTCCCTTGACCTGCTGGTGCGCCGTAATTCAAGGACCAACTTCATTCTGTTCGGATCCAATCACGAGCTTGCCCGGCTCATTTGCAGTGATGCAAAAGCGGTGATTGCTGTGACTGCATCCACAGGCAAGAAGCTGCCTGTTGCATTGCCCGAAGCTTACCCTTCGCGCACCTATGGAAGGTGTGGAGTGGCCCTTGATGCAGAGCCCCACTTAGGCCGGTGCCAAAGTTCTCCATCTTGATGTGGCAAAATGATCTGTTGGCCTTCGGGTCAGGCAAATGTCCCCTATGGCCACGGTTTCTCTGGATTGAAGAACACTTCTGTTCATCAGCATGTCGCCTTCAAGAAAAGATTCAGCTTTAGTCTCAAGCAAACGACAGCGCAATAGCTCAATTTACAGATCACTCCGACATGAACAACGCATGAAAAATGTCGGGCATGGATGACGCCTAGTACATGTTGCAGTTCACTGCACCAAAAGTAGTAGCCATAGTGCCCACTGTACGACTCCTAGCGCTAGTAATTCCAATCAGTTCAAGGCATGCAAAGGAAACTGTGCATGTATTAGAAGAGGCAACAGCAAAGAAGTGGCTGTTGCAGCAAGAGTGAAAAAATTGAGCGTACCGCAGAAGCACAATAGCGTAGTAACTCTGTGCAAGAGCGCAGCAGCGCTGGCAATGGCAACAGTACTCAAAGAAAAAGTCGCAATGATACTAACAGCACGAGTGGCAGTCAAAGTGACAATAGTAGCAGTAGCGGTAGCAGCTGAACCAATCCACGAGTCAGGTCTCCGGCTGAGCTCAGCACGTAGTAAATTTGGATGTTGGGGTTCTTGGGCTTGCCTCCATCGAGGGAATCGAGGCCATCATCATCCTGGCGGCTAATGAGCAAAGCCCAGAACGCGTTGGCATTTAGCTCAACCGGAACCTATGTTCCCAGATTGTGTGTGTGTGTGTGTGTGTGTGTGTGTGTGTGTGTGTGTGTGTGTGTGTGTGTGTGTGTGTGTGTGTGTGTGTGTGTGTGTGTGTGTGTGTGTGAGTGTGTGTGTGTGTGTGTGTGTGTGTGTGTGTGTGTGTGTGTGTGTGTGTGTGTGTGTGTGTGTGT